GGAATGCATTTACACTTACCTGACCGTGAGACTGATGCAGTCTGCCCAAGACCTTGCCCCTTCTGTAATCTTTCTTTCTCTGTAAAATTAGTCAGTAGCACTGCCTACCAGGTCCAATTATTTTGCAAGCATGACACAGGCTATTTTTGCTTTTTACTCATAGATACTAAAATTCCCTGTTTGTTCACTGAAAAGGTGCATCTATTGCACCACCTAAGAACTTATTTAAGTTATTTAACTTATTTAATTTCTCTACAGTTGGAATAATGTGCCAACCAGCTAGAGAATCATTCTTCAACATTACAGTAAGCAGAAGTTGCTTTTTGTCATGTAATTCGTAATATATTGTGTCCTAAAATAAACTCTCCCAAGCCTGGCTTCATATCTCCCCGCAAGGGATGTATATCCAACAAGCAGGTGTAAGGACAGCTAGGTGTAACACAGTAAGGAAAGAGAAGCGCTCTAATCAAGATTTTAGCAGAAATCCAGTAGTACCATAGAACAGTTAGTTATCCATAGCCTTTCACCAGTCTTCTAAAATAAGCCTCACAAATAATAATGGCCTGGGTATGTATATAAATATGCACTCTGCTAACAGTGTGGCACAAAGCAATAAAAACAGACAGGAATTTCTCCATCTGATGTAGCTGGCCACTGCATTTCCTTCCACTTCTCTCCAGAATAACATACAACCTGCAGCCTACTGCAGAAATGAGACTTTCATTTTGCCATAGGACGGCTGAGCTTATGAAGGACAAGGGGAGCCTTTTCGATTCAATGGAGTGTATTTATTGAGAGATTTTTAACATCATCTCACCCAATGATGTTACTGCCCTTCCCTCACACATCAGCAGTTTTTCCCTCAGGCTGGAAAAAATTAGCTTTTCTCAGCAAGTTTGTAGTTAGTGAAGAATTCTTGTGCTTTTAATGAGGAATGACTGGCCTGTTCTTTTGAAGTCACAGCACTGTTAGCAGTGATAGGCAGCCTTCGCCCTACAACAAATAAGAAGTTTAGGAATAGTTCCAAGAACAATTTTTTTTTTCCAGGAGACTTAGTTCAAGTCCTTCCACTGGACCAGCCCAAACAAGGACACTTTTGCAAATGTCCCAGCAGAAAGTGCATAGAAGAACACGAGGACCTGTCCCTCAGGTAAGTCCATATCTCCAGTCCTCCCAAGAGGAAATTCTCAACCAATCAATTCGATGCTGTGAAGAAAAACTTTCTTCTGTGCTACTGAAGTACTCTCTCAGAGTGCCAGGAGTCAGCTGCTGTACAGCAACCACAAACGAGCTCTGTTGCCATTTCCTATCACCTGTGTGGTGCTTGCCCTTATGAGATCTTGGGCTGCACACTGAAATCCACGGTGATGTTGACATATAAAGGGTTATGTTCCACTGAGAGCAGTTTATATGAACAAGAGTTCAGCCCATCTGTTTTCCATGTTCTAGATACTTGACGTAGAAGCTTCATCCTGAGGACAAAGGAGAAAAATCTTCAGTGACGTGCATAGCAGAGGAAGTTCAGCCCATCTGTTTTCCATGTTCTAGATACTTGACGTAGAAGCTTCATCCTGAGGACAAAGGAGGAGGATTTTTGAGCAGAGGAGTTTTGAGCTCTTTCCCACTACCAGTGAACTCAGAGGCAGAGCTACTGCCATTCTGTATCTACTGGGAACACAAAGCCATGCTTTTCCTGTCCTCAGCATGGACAATCAGACATAGGGGAAAAAAAAGTCCTTTGGTTTAATCTCTGAAATCATGTGCTCAAATTGCATCCATGTAACTAACTTTGGAATTTTGTAAGGAACATCACCCAGTCAGTTCTAGGCAGATCTGATGTACAGAACAACAGCTGCCAGCTGTGAGCAGTGGCATCACAGGGGTGTCCCCCAGAGCCTCTGGGTACCACAAAAGGCCTGTTTGGCCTAGAGCAAAGAACTTGGCCCCCAGGCGCCTCGCTCCTAGCCACATACCAAGGCAATGTAAGGTGGAATGCTATTTTTGACTCACCTCTCTCCATTCTCCTCATTACCGTGGTCTCGTTTGTGGAAGATCATCGTGTACCTAGCTACATCAGCAGACGGCCTTACCACCCTCATCTTCTGCATCTCAACCCTGGAAGAAGCAATAGTGCCATGAGCAAGACATCACCTATAAACAAGCTCTTAAGGAAAAGAAACACATTTGGAGACTTCATCTCTTGTAGATGCCATGGAAGCAAGCACAGAAAACTGTAGGAAACTCATCTGCATCTCTTCCACAACCCATTTTGCCAGAGAAATGGGGCTCAGAGTTGCGTTTCTGGAGAACAAGTCCATTAGGGTGGCAGCTAGCCCTTTCTTTTGAACAGAAGCAGGTAGCTCCTACAATGCAGGTCATGTAGAGCTTTAAGCACACATTATACAACAGACTACATTTAAATTAGTATTGTCTGGTCTAGCTTGTATGCCCTGTATTAACCTAGGAGGCATGTAGCAAGATTCCACACAGTTTTCAATAAGTTCATCTCAACTCCTGCAATAAAGCCCCTATATTTGATAATTCTCCACTTAAGAAAAAGAAAGCTTTTCTTTATTAATAGTTGGCAGACAGCTGCAAAATTTTTATTTGTTCACATGAAGAAAAATTTATTTCTGAGAACAGTGCCAGAAACACTAAGCCCCATGCATGGTTTTAAGTGTCGGACATCAAGCACTTGATGGGAGCTTTTGGCCTTAAACATATCTGTGGAGGACAACAATTTTGCTCTGTCAGCAGAAAGGGTTAACTTCATGACAAGGAGATTAAGGAATAGCCCAGGTCTTTCCTACTCACAGCAGCAGCTGAAAGAGCAATAGGAAACCAAGAATTGAAGAAACTGAGCCCCTTTCAGATTTCCAATAACTGTTTGTAGCAGTAAATCATCAAGCAAATACAACAAATGATTTGAAAAATGTTTTTGTGATGCACACCTTGGGCAGGGCCCCAAGAGAGACCAGAAGGTTTAGCACAGAGGCAAACCAGAAGGACCTAAGGGCACTCCACCCCCGAGTTCTTGAAGCTCCTGAAGGGGATGCTGCCATCTGCTGTCTTCACTGAGGAAGACTGCAAGGGTCTCTCGGTACAACCACCCACCATTACCTACCCACTGCAAACTCTGTCACCCACCCAGTCCAAGATCCACCTGAGGAAAAGCATGAGCCAAGTCCAGCGTGCACTCAGGGTTGTACGATTTGGTTTCCACACTAAGACCTCAACAGCTGCGAAGTTCTGAGGTGCCACGCACAAGCAAGCATCACTTTTGATTCCAACCACTTGCAAGTGTCATAGAGACCCTCAGTAAATCCTGCTGATCTGCTGCACAGCTGGTTCTCTGCTGCCCACAGGAACACTTGAAAGAACATCACTATCACCTTTGTTTGCCCATTAACTGTGACACTTCTCAGGAAGCTGGGGATTAAGATGGTACCAAGCCATCCCCTACCACTATAAAAGCCAGCTCCCAAGAGGTCACAGAGAAGAAGGTGGTGTCTCTAGCTAGGGGTAGGGAGAAAAAAAAAAGTTATGATTAAGAAGGGACAGAAATCCAGGTCTCCAGTAAACCTTTTAGATTTCTTGAGATACAGCTGACTGATCTACTGAACTGACACAGAGAAAAACTTTCATTTGGAAGTTCCTAACTTTAACACAATCGATTTCACCAGTGTAATTATTTAACATCAGAGATATGAATTTCATGTCCCCAAAATGTTTGTTTGCATATTTAAGCAACTGAAAAGGTTAAACATTTAAGAATGACGGAGTATACTCAAGTTACAAATTGACATGCTCTGCCAGCAGAGCTTGTGGGGCTGCGGGTTTGGTTTGTTTTGTTGGTTCTCCCTCCCCCCTCTTCCTAGGCAAAGGACAAAAGATCAACATAAAAGTTTTATTGACTTCTTTGTCCCACTAAACCTCTCAAACTAACAAGTTTCTCCAACTCTGACAGCCACATCTGCAAAACTAGTTTTAACAAGAGCAAAGGGCATATGCATATACATATATTTCTAAAATTCAAGTTACTCACTATCACCACCCACGGACAAACTAAACCCTGCTTGGAGCAAATCATGGTAGTCAATGAATGCAAAAAACCCAATCCCATCAAACCCAAACCACTCTCACACTCTTGCAAAGTATTGGAACTGAATATGTTTGTGTCTCTTTGGTAAGTTACGCTCCAGACTTCAATCTTACTATTTCTGTTATAACCAATTTCCAAGCAAGAACACAAATACTGTGTGGCTGAGACAAAACCAAAACAAACCACCAAATAAAAAAACCACAGCAAAACCCAGAACTAACAAGACTCACACCCATCCAACAACGCTGTCAGGAAGAGGACCAGGTCTCAGGCACGCCTAACCTTTGCAAAGAGGAAACTCCTCCCAGCAGCTGTATCTTGCACTCCAAATCCCCACTGCAATACTGTTTTGAATTGAAGGCTCATGTAGTGTTCCACCTTTGGAGGCTAGATGTGGAGTCACACAGATTTAATTTTTTTAAAAACCAGTTCCTCCACCTCTCACATCCATTTCCCTCTAACTTTTTTTTTATTATTATTTATTTTTTACCTGATTCGAAGGTCATCATCTTCTCCACCCCAACCCCAGTAGTTGTTAGAGAATCCATTCACCTTGGAAAACTGATCTCTTGTTAGAGCAGTTACACCTCCAAAATATCCCCGGTACCGTAACCTAGAAGCACACAAGAAAAGAGTGCGAAGAATTAAAAGTCAGATTCTACCAACAATGAAAATATCACCCTGCAACTCTGGATCTAGACTTGTCTTTCACAGAGTTAAGGGTGCACAAATCCATGAGGTTGGTCTTGTTCTTTTCCTCTTTTCACAAAAAAAATGGTGATTTGCTTTAGGCCAGAAAAAGTTAACTCTCCAACTAAGAGAACGGAGGCTTCTTCAATAGTTTCTCTCTCTTTACATGATTCCCCTTGCCAGCCAAAAAGGCACTTCACCTGAAGGACTCTGACGATTAGAAAGGAACAAAGCTACTCACTAATATAGCGGAAGATTTGCAATAATGATAGCAAGCCATTGACCATCTTAGGGCTGAATCTGAAAAACTTGGAATGAAATCACATCACAGCAAGGGGGCATGTGCTATGGGATATTGCAGGACCAATTTCAAGGTAAGGTACAGTGCAAGTTACTTAGTAACCCAATGTACTGGAGCTCAACTCTAAAGGAGATTAATTTCTAATCTCTACCTTCCTTGTTGTGGAAACTGCATCTATTTTAAAAAGGAATTTACATACTGTGCTTATTTATCTTATACCATTTTGCCAATTGCTATTTGGGATACTCTCCTCTTTCCTGGCCCTTAAGGTAAGCAGTACAACACAGCCTGTACTACACTGCCACTGCCACCTTCAGAGGTGCTGAGCACATGGCTGCAGATTGCATTTTGATTTCTAGAGGTATGTGAATCTAAAGAGATTAACAAATTGCCAGAGCTAGAAAATATCCATTATGGCAATTTACATGCGAGACAAGCAAAGGTGCAATGCTTATTATTATTTCTGGTTTACCTTAAAAATACACACACAAAAAAAAATAATCAAAAAAACACCATACACAATCTCCCTCTGACTAGTTTTCCTGGGTGATTTTTATTCCTGTCATAGTACCACAGGAGAACTGCAGAGGTTGAAGGGGCCTCTGGAGATCAAGGAGTCCAACCTCTCTGCTCTAGCAGATGCTGCTCTGAGCAATTTGCTGAGGACCACGTCCATTCAGGTTCTGAGCATCTCCAAGGATGGAGACTCATAACCTTTCTGGGCAGCCTGTTCCAGTATTTGACCACGTTCACAGTAAAAAAGCTTTTTTGTACGTTTAAACGGAATTTTCTGTGTTTCAGTTTGTGCCCATTGCCTCTTGCCTTTCACTAAGAAGGGTCTGGCTCCACCTACTTTACTCCCTTCCATCAGGGATGTATATACACATTGACAAGATCCCCCTCTGCCTTCTCTGCTCCAGGCTAAACAGTCCCAGCACTCTCAGCCTCTCTTCACATGTCAGATGCTGCAGTCCCTTAATCTTCTTCATGGCTCTTCTCTGGACTCGCTCCAGTATATCCACGTTTTTGTTGTACTGGGGAACCATGAACTCAGGACACAGCACTCCAGGTATCATCTCAGTGGTGCTGAGTAGAAGAGAACGGTCACCTCCCTCAGCCTGCTGACATCCCTCCTAACGCAGCCCAAGATGCTACTGGCCTTTGTCACGAGGGCACGCTGTTGGCTCAGATCCTTTTCTGTAAGGCTGCTTTCCAGACAGTTGGGCTCCAGCACCTACAGGTGCATGGAGTTACTCCTTTCCAGGTGCAGGACTCTGCATTTCCCTTTGTTGAACTTCTTTAGATTCCTGTTGGCCACATTCTCCAGCCCGACAAAGTCCCAGATACATCAATCACCCCTCCAAGATTTCTATCTTCTGAAAACTTGCTGAGGGTGCAATCTGCCCTATCATCCAGGTTACTAATGAAGATACTAATACCAGCCCCAGTATCAAACTCAGGAGTAAACCACTAGTGACTGGCCTCTAGCTGTACTTTGCTCCACTGATCAGAACCCTTTGAGCCCAGCAGTTCTGCCAGTTTTCAGTCCATCTCACTGTCCAGTTATTAGTCCATACTTCATCACTTTGCCAATGAGGATGTTATGGGAGACAGTGTCCAAAGCCTTCTTAAGTCAAGATAAACACTATCCACTACTCATCCCTTGTCCACCAAGCCAGTCAAATCAAAGGAGGCTATCAAGTTGGTCAGGCATGACTTGTGAACAGATTTGCTTCATCACCTTCCCAAGGATTAAAAGGTGAGGTTGACCAGCCTGTAGTTCCTCAAATCCTCCTTCTTGCCTGTCCTGAAAATAGAAGTGACTTTTTTTTCTTCCAGTCCTCAGGAACCTCCACCAATCATCATGTTTGTAAGTAAAGTTCAGCAAAACACCTCCCATCATCAGCTCTGATCACCTGTGTCAGGAAGTTATCATCAATTCACTTCAGTAATCTCCTGGATTATTTGTGCCCTGTTGTGTTGCCCTTCCAGCAGATACCAGGACAATTAAAGTCTTCCACAAGAACCAGGGCCTGCATACGTGAGGCTTCTTCCAGTTATCTGAAAAAAGCTTCAACTGTCATTTGCTGGGACTGTCATATACTTCCTAAAAGATGGTGTTATCTACATAAACATGCAAAAAAAGGATTGTTCTAGACAGATGCAGTCTCTCATGCTCTACCTTCGTTTTTTTTCTACCTCTGGAATTTTTACCCTTCCTTGCTCTCCCTCCTTTATCTCTTCTCCTAGAGGAGACCAACCATGAGGTAGGGGAGGCCCTATCAACTTTTAATTATGCATTACTACCTTGAGACTTCTGCTACGGATGCTCTAGAGAAACACAGTGAACCAGTGGAATGGACAGCAAGGAGGTCCCATAAACAGCAACAGCAGGGAAGAGCCCTCCCCAGCCATGCTTTCAGGCTGCACTGCCAGTCACCAACAGTACCACATCCCCCCAATTCCAGCAGCCTGGTAGGGTTTGGGAACTGACTGCCCACCCACACATCCATATATGCACCCCACTGCTTGCTTATGCACCTCGTAATTCCCTTACACCACTGGAGAGGTAGACACCGAAGGAGCCAGGGCTGTAACCAGGACTGTCCTGCCTACTCAACCCTCCTCAGGCAGGGCCCAGACATATCTTGCTCCAAGATGACATCATCTGCAAAAACACACCTCTATAACAGAGTTCAACCACCTCCTCCCTGAGGACAAGAGAATATCAGCTCCTTTGGGATTTTTAAAATTGGACTGAAGAAACCATATAATAGAAATAGTCATTAGGAAAAGATGTTGTGCTGGTCTCAAGGAAATAGCTTAACTAAGATAAAGTTTTCCCATCCTTACCTTCAAAGTTTTAATAAATAAACCTTTTTTCTAAAGAATCTGAAACTGAGCTGTAGTTTATGTAACTAAAGTACTTGCTCTCCAAAGGAGCACGGCTGCTAAGATTATCACGTACCGTATCACCATAGAAGACACCCCCCCGGAAGAAAAACAAACAAAAACCCCCAGGAAACCCACAAAAACCCCACACTCCTGCCCAGGTTATTTTGTGTTAATGCAGAACACATACAACTTCAGTTTTCTCAACTTCATCTGAGCAACAGGTCTCAGTATGCTCACCTGGGCCTAAGCAAAACACTGAAGTCACTCAACTGGGACTTCAACCTGTGGTCTCAGCTCAGTTTAGGCATCATTGCTGAGCTCGGGATATGAATTCCTTCAGATGTACCCAGGAGTTCCCTTGGAAGTACAGCATTATTATCCCCGCTTCATGGATGTGTAAACAGAGACAGTGACACAGAAAAGTAAGTACGAATCAAATTCAGACCACCAGTCTCCTACTGAATACTGGTGCAGTGTATTCACAACAAAAACATTCTGTCTGTACTCTTTATAGGTCAGCTTTAAGCTTTGGCTTTAACTAACAACTCCTTTCCACCAACAGAAGAAACCTGAGGAAATTAATAGTAAGAAGATCCCTTAGTAAAAGCAAAAATCCATCTGCATGCTTAACTAAGCAAAACACTTGCAGTAACTAAGGCACAGGAGGTTAAGTAAAGCACCTCAAGCTTTGTGCCATGTTATTAGCCTGGATTCTACACGCGTGTCAACTAACCAAAGCATTGTTCCTTTTGCTTTGGTGCACTGACCATCCTGTAGCCCTTGGCATTCTCTCTGCAAGGCAGAACGCTCCAAAAGCCTGTCACGAGCCTAGTTCATATGTGCTTGTTCCAGTTTTCATTAAATGACTGGAAAGTGAATATTATTCTGTATAAGAATTTGCACATCCCACCTCTTTCTCACGTATTTAACAAAGGAAATCCAGAAGTGAAGCAGAGCTTTACTTCAAAGTACTTTGAGATCAGCTTTTGAAAAGCCCACTTCTAATTAATATTTAGAGTGACATAAGAGGTGAATCCTGAAAGAAAAAAGTTCAATGAAAACACTTTAGTCATTAAATTCACCAAGCTTAGGAGCCTTTTCTTCTCTGAGGTGGACTGAACCTGACTTTTCACTTTAAATTATTTACATCACACTGGCACTTAGGAGACCCATTTAAAAATCAGAATCATCCTGTATTGGACACTGTCCAGCCAAATAATTAAAGGGCAACCCTGTCCCTTGGCAAATTCTCACACTTGAGCTCTCAATATCAGATGTTACCTCTTCAAGAGCAAAAGGTAAGTGACAAGTTTTATTATAGTAAGATCACACCCTCAAGTCACAGGACCAGGAAACTGCAAATGCATTTCTAGCTTTGACAGAAGGTCTTTGCACAACCTCTGGCACATTGCTGTCCTCTCAGAACACCCTCTGCCTCACCCCAGAAACCAGAACAAAGCCACTGATCATTTGTGCAGGTGACCATGGGGATGACTTCAGAGATGTCTACAGTTCTCTTGTCAGAAGGCGCTCCAGAAAGGTAAAGTGTTACCACCAGAAATGTGGTGTCAGGAGGAAGAGTAGATACCAGCATACAGCTCCACCAGAAGAGGAACATTATCAGTAACATGGCATTTCTCAGTTGGTATTCTTTTCATATTCCTAGTTTCCTACCTGTATCCAGTATTGTTCCTGCCAACTACAAGGTGCTTTGGTTGTCTGTCACACATGTAAATGTTAAAGTCATTTTCTGGCACCAGATCCACATCATGGAAAATGAAACAGTCCCAGTTCGCTTCTTTTAGGGCCTCTAGGTATCCTACATTCAGCAGTTTAGCTCGATTAAATTTGGTGCTGCCAGCCTGTGGAAGAGAATGGAAAAAACCTCTGAAGAAGGTGTCAAACCTTTTGAACCAGAACTGCTCTCAGGCATTTGTTCTGATCACATAGTTCACAACCGTATTCAGGCGTCACAGTCTTTACAGCAGTAACTACACAAATAGCTGCCCCATAACACTGGATACAGCACCAGAGTGGCCAAAGATGCAGTGTTTCTTCAGTCTCTATTTGTCATGAACAAACACAGCCAGGGCCAGGACAGCCTATGGCTATAAGAGCACCAGAAGTATGCATGCTCCATGATGATTTCACTACTATTGCTGCTCCCGTTCTGGAGTTACCATCAGGCTACATGACAAGAGTACCAGTACACAGTTTAGAAACTGGCACTCCATACAACTGTATCAGTAAGGCTCATGGAACTTTGTTTTTTTTTTTAAGAAAAAAAAAAAGCCCAAACCAACCAACCAAATAACCTCAAAAACCGCATTACTCCCATATTAATTAGTTTACAGATGTCAGAGTGTCAGAGCACCTGCACAGATGATTTATGCTTGTCCACTCAGTTCAGAGGACTGCAATGCTTAAGGACTCCACTGTATTTCCTTAGATCACACAGTAGGTGGCAGAGTGGGAAATCAAGAGCAGGTGTCTCCATTTTTAACTCCTATCTATAACTTAATTATTATGCTGCACAGGGACTCCCCCAGCACAGAGCTTCACTTGACTTTGACTAGTCTTCATTGTTTGTTTTTATTAGTTTTAACCTCTGAGCTATACATACATATACATACACCTGGCAGTTTTGTAAGCTTACCATGTCACCGTTCACTCTGGAGCAACAGGGGTGCTTATCTTGCTACTTACTTTTTACTGCGCAGTATACACTTGCCAGCTTACAGAAAGCTTTCTGTTCCTGAGGACAAGGCGGTGAGTTGCCTCAAGTTCCCACCTGGGAGTCAGAGGGCCAAACCCTGCACTCCCAGAAACTGACAGGACAGTCATTTTCCAGAGCTAGGAATCTGATATACTTGAAAGAATAAAAAAAGGCAATTTTCAAGACAAAGAGGTCATTTGCTAGAAGGTGCCTGGACTGAAAGACTAGAAGATCAGAAAGAAGCTGGCCTCCCCGAACTGAGAGAATGTTA